AAGGCCCAAGAATGTCCACCAATGCTACGAATTCTGCTCACTGACCCCGAAGGTTATCTAAGGATGACAGACGCTGGACGCAGCAGAATCATTTCCACAGGCTGGTTTCGGGATCTTTGATACGAAGTCTATGCAAGAGAGTGGATCACGGCCACTGTAATCAGGGAGACCTTGAGCAGACCAGATCTTTACTTAAACCACCATTCTGTTCCTTAATGTCCAGGTGAAGGCCTCTGACCAGCATTGATCCTCCACACATGCTGTTCAAACAAGACATCTACAACATCAACTTAAGTGTGTTTACATTTTAATAAACCTGTTTTACTTCACTAAGCCTGCCTCTCAGTGAGTCTACACAGAACTGCAGCTTTAGGCCTGACAGATCTATCCTTCGTATATCTGAGGGCTTTTAAAAACATCCCCGTGCACAGGGAGCTGCCTCTGCATAGGTATAAAAGACATACTTTAACCTGTGAAAATCTATTTTTTAAAATATTCAAAAAACAAAACAAAACGCAAGTCTTCCTAACAGACAGATCCAGAAAATTATCTTCTAAAAGTAGCGGACAATATATGGCTTAAGCGTTAGATTTTATTTCGTATTCTGATTGCTTCATTTTAAGCTCTGAGCACAAAGCACAATTTGGGCTGCTGCAGTTAGAAATGGAGAATTTCTTCTGTCGCTTAAGTGATTCAAATACAGCACTAGATGGTGCTGCAGGGTGTGGTGAGTAACGATTCTCCCTTTGTATTTGGAGCCGGGGAAACGCCTGAGCTGAAGACGATTTTCTGATGCCGCTAATTTGGGACACGGATGTGACCTCTGTTGTCAACACAGAATCTGCAGAAACAGAGTTTTGCCCTACGGAAGGCAGCCCAAATGTAAAACAGCCACATTTTCAAGCTGAAGCTGCTACCATATAAACAAACAAACAGATAAAAAGGGGGGATCTTGACAATTTTTTCATAAATTAGATGCTATGATTTAGCCTCAGCCAGTTTTTGGTCCGTAGCTCTGACATACAGTCCTGCAGGGCTGTCCGTCCTGTATGCACGGCCGATGAATCATGTTTCAAAATAATGTTATTGTAATTTAAAAAAAAGATAGAAAGAAAATACAGATGAATCATGCACTGTTCCCAGAAGGGAAAATTATACTTTTCAAAAACTACAGAGCACAGTTATATTGTGTAACTTTCATTATTGTGACACCTAAAAAGAAAAAAAGAAAGAAATAGAAAATAGAAGTAGAGAAAAAAAAAATCAGCGCAGGACACATTGGAAGGAAAACAAATACCAAAATAAGACCGTTTCCTCCATGGAAATAACAACTTAGCCACGATATAAACAGATCTATTTTCCTAACCAGCCTTCTCAGTACTGAAGTGCATATAAAATAAAACTGCCTCGGATGTTGAAATAAATATTGGGGAAATAGTAGGGATGGCCTAATCAAAAGGCTTCAGCTGTTATCTATTGTCTAGTGTCACAACGAGGGAATAGTTTACTTGCATTCCTGTTGCTGTAAACGGGGCATGACACACAAAATCACAATGGTTTTTCCCGAGGTGTTTTAGCCTCCTTGTCAGCCAGGAAGAGGACTCGCTTAAGGAAAAGAAAATGAGGGATGAAAGGATGCCCGGTAGGCAAACATGCGTCTGCGGTTGCTCGGCAACCTTTGTGGGAATGGCATCCTCAGGACCACTTTCACCAGATTTGACAGCAGCCCGAAAGGAAGAGGGAGCTTCATCTAAAAGGCACCCGTAATTCCCAGCCAACATGCAGACAGGTTAAAATGGAAGCGTGCAAGATCAGGGTTGTAAGGAGGATACCTGATAAAAACTGACGCTCGGGTGGTAGGCTGACAAAGACTTGCCTCATGCTGTTTCTGCAAAAACCATTCGAAGAAAGAAAGTGTCACTTCCTGCCACAATCGCTTCAGATCTGATTTTTACGTTCAGTCTGCTAAGATTCCCGTGGCAAGTTTTGGGCGAAGGGCGTGGTGGTGCCACCCGACAGTCACGAGCCTGAGGGCCGCTTCCCAGACAGAATACACATCCTTGGGTCTAAGGAGAGATCCCTCACAACCTCTCCCTTTCCCGGTTGGAGACCACTGATTGATTGATTGACTGATTGATTTTTTATGGTTTAACAGGAAAAAAAAGAATTCAGCCTTGCGGCTCCTTAAAGATGACACCTCTTCAGGCATTTATTTTGGTGGTCTTTGGGCTTGGGCATTACGCAGTGGTTTAAAACACATAACCCACATTACGGTTTAGTTTATGCCATCATCAATTTGTTACTTCTTTTGCTATCATAATGGTTTTTATTTTTTATTTTATTTTTTCCAATCCACCAGAACGTTGGAAAGAAATGAAGTAAAGGGGGCTCAATCCTGCAGGAGCATCTGTGGAGGGTTAAAAAAGTCAAGATGGTGCCCACTACCATACAAATGAAGCCCCGCCTCTTGATTTTGTTAAGTCTCTGCCTCCTTGCAGATGCCCCTGCTGTCCTGTCTGTCTGCCTGTCTGGAAAAACAGAGCAGAACAGACCAATGGGTTCCATCCAGGAGGGAGGAGGGAGGGGGCTTAGAATGGAGCAGACAGCAATTTTCCAAGCCCCTGCCCAGCTGTTCTCCCATTGGGATGCACTGGGGGTACAGGTAATCCTCACTTACTGATCCCAGTTGGGATCAGCAATTTGGTTGTTAAGCAAAGTGGTCACTAAGTGAAACCGCAACTGTGCTTATGATCTGACGTCAGCTTTCCTTTGCTTTACAGGCCTGCGAAGGTCGTAAATGCAAGAATTGGTTGCAAAGTTACTTTTTCATCCCTGTTGTAAGTGCGAACAGTCACTGTCCAAGGCAGTCACTAAACGAGGACTACCTGAAAGAATGATGTTTTTGTTTCAGACAATACCTGTTTTGACAACTGATGTGCCATTTAAACAATGGCAAAAAGTATCTAAATTTCTAAATTTATACGTTCTAAAAATATCTAAATATCTAAATTTATATGGCAATGGAAAAAGCCATGAGTTAAATATAAAGTGTTACAAGATGCAAAGGGAAGAGGAGGCCTGGGTTTACCGGATTTGAAACTGTATTTCACTGCTTGTTTGGTCTGGATGAAGGAATGGATGTTGCTGAGAAACACGAGACTTTTACAGTTAGAAGGTCACGACCTGAGGTTTGGATGGCATAGATATTTATGGTACAATACAGTTAAAATTCATGTGGACTTTAAAAAAGTTTATTAGACGTGCCATATTGAGAACATGGAATAGATATAAATCCAGGTTGTACCCAAAATCCCCGGTGTTTTCTTTATTGAAGAGAATCCCCATGGACTGTGTAGGGATCTACTGGAAATAAAAAGATGATGTACAGCCCCAAGCTTGTCTGGAAATATGCCCAAGCTGAGCTCTACAATGATGAGGAACTGCCTCGCAAAAGGTAACACCCTTTGAGTCAGGCTCAACTCCTGGTGACTCCAGGGTCATGTCCATGTAGTTTTGTGGCCAAGAAAATGGAAATGGTTTGCCCTGTCCTTCTTCCAGGACTTTTCTTTCTTCCCAATCTAGCCAATAGTCCTTGGATCTCCTAGTGGTCTCCCATCCAAGTATAACCAGGTCCAAGCTGCTTAGTTCTTCAAGATCAGATAAGGGGACCATAAAAAAGGCCAAGCGCCGAAGAATTGATGCCTTTGAACTGTGGTGCTG